ATATAAAGTACCAGCAGGTCTAGCCTTCTCCCAGCCCAGAAAAGCAGAGCCATGCTGCTTCCCCACCCTCATGAAAACCTGAAATGGCAGAGAGGATAAATCTTGGTCACTACAGATAAGGGACCTGTGCTTTTGATGCCTGCGCCTTTTCTGGCTTGCTACCAATGAAATGAGGCAATAAGACACTTCCAGTCACAGATACATTTATTCTTCCATATCTGTACAGCTGATCAGTGCATGCTTCAAGCAGCAGTATCTAGAGAAATATCTTCTCCTGCTAGCAGGATAAATAAACTGTTGTTGCTGTATTACGAGTCTACATGGATGCTTACCTGTTTCCAGGCTGAGAGTGCCAACTGCACTTGAGTTAAAGAAACCCACAAGGAAAGAGGGAAGGGGGGAAAAAAAAAAGAGGAGTAACAGCTTTGATTTTTCACATCCAACCATGGTGGGAGAAGAAGAAGAAACACCAGTTTCTGTCTCTTGACCCTTGCTGTAACTATGGCTTTGAGATGCAATGCTACTGTCTCCTTGCAGGCTGCTTGCTTATCCACAAAAGATAAATGCCATATCCCTTTCTGTCCACGCTCCACATGCCCAAAATAACAAGTCTTTTGCCAAACAAACCCATTCTTCTGGGAGGAGGAGATGCGCAGTCAAGAGTGAGAAATTCTCCTTGTGGAAAATGGAGATTTGCCCATGAGGTTCTAGCAGACAGTGCTCTCATCTGAGTACAGAGCCTGTGAGCTCTGCTCCAAAGGACTCCTTGGCCAGTACAAGGGCAGTCTGTGGCGGGTAAGGTGAGAACAACAAAACAGGCCACACACAACAGGAATGCTGCAGTATCCTTTCTCCTGCCAGGACTAGAGAAAGTGACAGCAGCAGTAAGTAAATGTGATACGTTAAATGATAAATACCTTCAAATGGTGTAATCTCTTGGGTTCTGTTTCCTGAGGGTCTGCAGGACATCCTCGAGAAGTGATAGCCCCAAATCCACTTTGAAGGACAGGAAGGGATCAGACAGGTCAGGAAGAGCAATGCCATTCTGGGAACCTGTCTCTGAGGTCCCACAGTCTGTAGCTTGGTCTTTGTGAAACTGAGTTTGAGTGGCTTTGTGATATTGATGACTAGCACCAGAAAAGGAGATGTCAGAGTGAGAATCTGTGCGATCAATGATGTTAGGGCAGCTTGAACTGTCCAGGTACAGCCGGGGAGGCTTGGGAGGTGCTTGTGCCTTGGCTAGGTTTTGCTCACTCTGACATGACAGGTAATCAGACTTGTCCTTCAGATCCCTCAAGCATTCCCTCTTCTGGCACTGTCCATCACTGTCCAGAGTGTGGCTGGTCTGATTCAAGATGATGACTTGGTTGCCCAGCTTTTTGTGTCTCCTGAGTGAGAAACGTCTGAAGAACGTTGTGGACTTAATGGACCCTCTCCGCCAAGTATCCATGCTGATGAAAGGCGATGAGAAGAAGGAAACTGCTGACTCTTCACAGTCGGGTGTTGGACTTAAGTTGTGGGATCGGCAAGAAGCCACACAACAGGAACAACCTCTTCCTTCCCTGTTGCTGTAGCTGGAAGGAAAACAGAGAGGCTGGTATTGCAGGAAATGCGAACTTCACACTACGTCGCTGTGTTGAGGAGAAATTGGTCTGTCTTAGATATTAAGAAGTCTCCTTCTTCAGTGGAGAAGGAATGGTGATGCCTGAGCTTATTAAATCTGTGCTGCAGAAACAGACTGATGAAGAACAGCAAAGGCACACAGTCACCATGAGAACAGATTTAATCTAGCATCTAGAACAGAAGGGCACTTGGGTACCATGGTAACCAGCTACCTTCATGGGGAAGGGCACAGTATAAAAATCTCAGTGGGTGGTTAGGAAGGGAGACGGTGACTCAGTCACACTGAAGGAAACCAAAGAGATACAGTCAAATGGAAATTTAAAAAGCAACAAAATGCAGACAAACATTAGGTAAATTGAATGCAAAATTAGACTTACGCTGTGTCGGAGCAGCACCTGGGTCTAACAAGCGGCAAGGAGAAGCTGCTGAAGCACCCAGAGAATTGTGACCACCGCATTCACCAGTGTGCTGGGATGTTGGAAGAAGCAAGTCCAGAAGACGATTCAGCCAGGTCGGACCCGGAACGCTAAAAATCCACAATGCCTCCTCCTCTTCATGTGCCTCCTGTCGCTGCTTCCCAGGCTGCAGTTCCTTGCGCGTGTGTGTTTGTTGTGAGCCAAGCCCTTGCTGAGTCAGCCACGTCAGAAACTGGGTTTTACACTATTGGTAATTGCCAGGATTGCAGGAAGTAGGTGTGTGGAGTGGCAGAGCATCAGCCCACACTGCCTGAGGAGCAAGCAAGCTCCCTCAGAGGCACCCAGATCGCTTGAGAACCATCAATGTGAATATCGACTTGTAGCCCATCTTGGATCAAACTGCTCCTTCTCTTGTTGCTCTCCCTTCTGCCCCTTCTGATGGCTTCCTGTATCATCAAGTCTCCCAGATGAGGCTGGAAATAATCACTTGTCTGTTTTAAATGTAAATCCAGAGCGTGAGGTAGTGATTCAGGTTTGCATGGGTGATTCATCTGCATGAGTCTCATGTTGGCTATTTCATTCAGCCGAGCAAGTGACGGTAAGTAGCTGTGGTTAGCGCGGACAGGCACGCTGAAGAAGCCTAGTTCTACCACTGCAGGCTGATACAATCTGGTGCTTTCTCAGACACTGTGAAAATCTGTGCTGTGCACTACTGAAAGGTTATTTCATTCATGCAGCTCCTGAGATACCGGTTATGGTGTGTTAGTCTCTTAATTTCCCTGTCTAAGTTCCCCATCTATTGTGTCCTTCTGTTTTGTCCTTGCAGCTAGACACTCTGCAGCTGGAGGAGCCACTTTGCTGGCCTGTAATAATGAATTTGCCTTTGCCCCATTTTCATGCAGAATCTTATTTAGCTATTCTATTGCCTTTTCATCCCTTCTACTTTCTATTTAAGATGTCCTTAAATCACCACTAAATCTAGTACCTAGAAAAATTAACATGAGGGTTTTTTTTTTTTAATTCACCTTCTGTCAAGATGCTTTCATTTCTACCTGAGCTGTGAAACAAATGAAGTGGATGTTTCCAAGCATTGCAATGCTTTGAATACATCCAAAATAGGAAGGCCACCTACTAATGCTAAATGGCTTTTGAAAGCAGACTGCCAAAACCACCACTTTGCTCTGCGATAGCAGCTGTCATCTGCTGCCTACGTTTAGTAGGTAAAGTCTGCAATCACCGCGCAGTTGACGTGACAGTTGCTACCACACAGAGCTGAAAGGCTCCAGGAGCTTTTGAGAACTGAAACACACTTGTGGCACGTTTGGGAACATACCTGGTGGTTTTTGTTCTGCAGCCGCTTTTATGACTAAACCACAGGAAGGTTTGATGGTTTGAGTTTATTTTTTTAATGGCATTAGCCTTTATAACGGGTGAAGTGTACGCTGGACTTTGTGCACCAGCGTTGTGCTTGCAGAGTGAGCTTGTCATCCAAAATAACCAGCTGCAGCAAGGCAAGCCAAGCTTACCCATCCACCCTCGTGAGCAAGGAGCAGCAAGAGGGTCATTCAGGCTTCCCATCTGTCCTCTTCTGTCTTGCAAAGCTGGCCATTATCTCTAGGCCAGGCAGCTCTCACACCTTACCTGATTTCTCTGGGGTCATACTGCTAGGAACCATCATCCTGACTCGAACGCGTGTGTTGTGTGTGTGGTTTATGGAGAGGGGGGCTGGGGTATATCCTGTACTTGACAGGCTGTATTTGTTTTCTGTTCCTAGACATCAGTGGTGTCAGAGCGGGATTATGAGAGCCTGGTGATGATGCGGATGCGCCAAGCAGCAGAGAGACAGCAGCTTATTGAACAGCTCAAGCGGGAGGATGAGGAAGAGTCTCACACCTAGCATGAGAGAGTATGGCTTCTCCCTACCCCACCATTCCTCATTTCCAGAGCTGTTTCTTAAATTAAGTCAATAAACCTCCTTCTTCAAAACTCTTGTGGGAATACAAGCTCTCCCTTTCCAAAGGAGGGGGAGAAAAACGGCTGCAAAAGCTCCAGAGTCAGTGTATGAACTGTTACTCTGTGCTTGGAGCAGCTGCCGAGTCACAGAGGAGGTCCTGTCAGAACACCAGACCTTAGAGCCTCTTGAAATTCCTGAAGGCTTCTTCAGGAGCTGTGGATCCCGAGGGCTTTGGCAACTGTTTAAAACAATGCACAGAAAGACACTGATTTCTTTAGAGAAGTATTTTATTGGTGTCACCCCTACAGCCGGATCAGTACATGGTCCCAAACAATCCGGCACTACAACCACTGCTGTTAAGATTACAGAGCCTGTACCCGAACTGTTCACCAGACCTTTCTAAGGCTATTTCAGGAACAATGTGTTAGGCTTGAATGGCACTCGGGGCTGGAAGTCTGATGCTGCTGTTAACCAAAACTGACCTTGCTGCCGAGTGAAAGGACTCGCAAAGAGCACTGTGTAGGATTGGCATTTCCTGCTTACCTGCCAGGGTTGATACAGTGTGACATCCATGCTTGGCCTTCCCTCCCTACCCCCACGGACTGGAAGAAGGCATGCCCTGAACTCTAGCAGCTCAGTACGCACCTCTCTGGGGCAGCTCTGAGGAAGAGGCGGACAAGTCTGTTATTTGAGCTTCCTCCAATTAATGCTAAATAGGAGATGATTAAAATGTGAAAAGATGGTATTTGCCAGACTGCCACGGAGCCATCTGTTCCCTGTGCGTGATTTTGTCTGGACTGAGCATACCTTCCTCCCCCTGCTCTTGCGTAACGACAGGGATGGCAAGTTCCCATTGGGTCAAGTTTTACCTTTACAACACTCCTCCCCCTGTGCCTGAGTGCTTGAAGTGTGGGACAGAAAGGAATGAAGGGGAAAATGTTTGCTGTCAGTCCTGTGTGAGGTGGACACCAGCAGGGTCTTGTCCAAGAGGATTGCAGAAGGCTTCCTCACTGTTCCTTGTGGAGGCACCACACCAACGTCTGGCCCACACCTGTCATGCTCACCACCCGGTAACCACAGCTCTCCAGCTTGTTCAGGACTACCCGCGGGGCGTCGTTCACGTAGTACTCCCAGCTGCAAGCAGGAAAGAGGAGAAGAAATAACGTGAGGTGGAGAAGGAAGAGACAAGAATTTCCTTGTGGAAGTGACTCTGCCTTTCTAGTAAACCCATACAAGATGCTGCAATGACCACACCTGACGTGCTCTCTGTGTGGTGCAGTGTCTTTGTTAACCAGGTGGGGAAGGCCAAAACCAACAGCTACCAAACCAAGGAGGAAGCTGCCCAAAAAGGAAGAGCTATGTTAAATTGAAATGTGGTGCAGGGAGTGGTTGTCCAAAGCCACGTGCAGCTTGGTTAACTGGGCTGAAGCTGCAGCAGAGAGGGTTCCTGAGCATTCACAGCAGGAAAATAATGGGAAAAGAGGATAACCTCTGCAAAGCAGGGGAGAATAATTCAGGTGTTTCTAAGGAATGAAAAAACAGTATTTTTTTGATGTTGGAGCATTGTAAATTGTAAATTGGGTGTTTTTGAGAGCCTGAGCAATTTGAGGATTGGGGAAAAAATGCCTTCAGCCAAGTATTAAGCCTTTGCAAAACCAGAAGTGATCAGTCCTCAGCAGAGCTGCCAGATGAGGTGGAGTGCAGGCTCCTCTCTACTGCTGCAATCCAGAGCAGTTGAGCACTGTGGATGTCTGGGAACTGTAACTTGAGATCCTTGCCAGCCTGCCTTCCTCTCTGGTTCCTGCTGGCTCTGTGTGTTTGGAGCAGAAGCTGTCCAGCCTCCCCTGATCTCTGAGGCTGCTTCTCTGCACGAAACTTGAGAGCTGAGAGACTGCCCCCATCATACAGAAAAGAGATGGTGACTGCGGAGTGGAAGAGTGGCACAACACAGACCCAAAATGGGCTGAGTTAGGTGGGGAAGTAGCAGAGCTGAGATGGCAAGTATCACCTTCAGTGCTGGACTTGACAGCCTCTCTGTTCCTTCAGTGTGATCGTTGTGGATGCAGTATTTATTCAAGCAGATGGGATAAGCTCC